TTTTTATAATCTTCTATGTTTATTTCAACTTTACTTTGAATTCGATTTCATAATGACAATTTCCAATGTTTAATTTCTACAAATAATATAGTACTCAAATACATAAAGATGATAGTGTCGGGGACGGTTTACTCGAGTTTTACAGGATTTCTCTACAGTAATTGATTTTTACTCCAAATTGAATTGACTAAAATGCTTCATGAGAATAAGTTCTTTGAGTAGCAACTATTCGCGGAAATATTTGGCCTGACTAGAATTGCCGGCTTGGCTTTAACTTATAACTCGAGTAAAGACGAAACACTTTCGTATTTACGTATTTTTATCAATTATTGTTCATTGAACGGGAGTTGGTTTGTTCCCCTTGAAAAGTCAACTTAATTTCCGATCAATGACAATGATTACATGTTTTTTAATTTTTCCTTTTACAATTGAAATTTATTCTTCGTGATGATTTAACTCCAGTCCCCGTTAAAACATTATTAACATTTTGCTTTCAAATTACTTCAAAACATCTTTCAAAATATAACTTACCAGTATGGATGCACACTTTTTTTAAAATAATTCTACTTTAATTAAACTTAGGAGATAATATAATCAATTAATCAATACTGTTTAGGAAATAAATTATTATATATATATATATATATATATATATGTAATTAAGTAAGTATGTAATTAAGTACATATATATACTTAGTAAAGCAGTTCCAATTAACCGAATTTTGTATAAAACAAATGCAGGTTTGTTTATTATAGAACGACTGAAAAATTATTACTTTAAACCATTAGCGTAGTACAAAACTGTTGCAGCAAATACAGAAAAGAAATGAAAAATGCTTTGCATAGCATCAGTAACAGCAGATGATGTCTGCCAGATTAGGACTGACAAAGGTCTAAAATTCGTTTTTAATTGAATCTGAACTCAGTACATTAATGTAGTTAAACGCTGTTCTGTAATTATATTTTATATTTAATTTCTTCACTTCCATAGGTGTTTATTCTTTCGCTATTTCCTTTGCGTAACAAAACAAACTTTTTCTCCAGAATAATCAGCTCGAAAATACAGGTATATTGTTATCAGTATTCTTTCCCTCTTTATCCTGTATGGCTGTCTTTAGCGTTTATTGGCTTTGGTTAGTACTAAGGCCAGAAGCGATGCTTCGTTTCTTATGGAGGCACCTAAAAGGTGGGTCATAGTTGCCTCCTACGAAGGGACGAACAAATTACATCCATTCCTTTTCCGGGATTCGAACCCCTAGCCTTTTTTGGTACGGCAATCACAGTCACCAACCATTTCAATTTGAGCTGTTGAGTCGTCTGAGCGGTATATTGTTAATAGCATATTTTTATAATTGGAAGAGAGGCATTCCTATTTCGCCTTGAGTGTGAGCATCGTCTTGAGTATTATCTCTGTTCGTTGCTATTAATGCAGAAATCAGTACTGTATTTCTGTATTAATAGCACAAAATACTGGCTGTTGACATTATTGTAAAATAATGTTTTCTGTTCATGAAAAATATTCTAAGCTAAACGGTTCATGAATCATGGACTAGTAAGTGAAGTAAAATAACTTTGTTCTTTAAGGTAAGACAGCGATGTGCATAATTACTTGTACTGAGAAAAAAAGCTTTAAGACATAAACGTGTAATTCTTGTGTTTAATTATTTTGGGTATTTAAAAATTATGGATTCGTTGTATTTACGGGAAGTCTTGGTCATTGAATTGCTAGCTTTAATTTATATACAGTGAGAAACAGGTGAATTCTTGGTCTTCCCTTAGCAATAATCACTTGCCTTAGATTTTTACCGTAACATTCTCATGCAAAAATAAGTGACGGTTTAAATTCAGTGGAGAAAACTGTACCCTGCTTGTTCTATAGATAACAAAACAGAGATGGAATTACAAGCGTTTAAATACATTTCATTCATTCTCCAATTTATGGTTATTATTTACATTAAAGCCAGGTTATATTTGTCTAATAGCTGGTGTCTTCATGGAAACCCTTTTTAAGGGAAAATCTCATATTTACTTTACATGTAAATATAAACTTAAGAAAAATTTTAAGTACCCATCCCATTTCACCGTCAGATTGCGTTGGTTGGTTAGACGATTACCTAAATCTGGCTATCTGCCTTGTTAATTGGCTCATATATAACATCACAAACGGGAAAAATCACAAAAACTTAGTGTACCCAGCTCTTTTGCCAAGAAGTGAATCTGGAAGGAATTACCCGAGTTCAGCGGTCTTTCCATTTGAACTCTGCCTGGCCTTCCAGAATCATTTTGTGTTGTAGCCGCTAGGGGCTATAATTTATGGTTAAATGATGTGGTTACTAATTTAGAAGTCAAACAACAAAAATCAACGTTATATTTGCCAATTTACTCCTGACGGGCCATTTTTATCTTATCTTATTACTATATCGTATCTCGCTCATTTGCACTTTGGCCGCTGAGGATGATGATTCGGTAAAAGCACCGAAACTATTCCTGTGAAAATTTGCAAATATAACGCTGATTTTTGTTGTTTGACTTCTAAATTAGTATTTGTTCGGCGGGTTATTTTACCTTAAATGATGTAGTTACTAATTTGTGATATTGAAGGACACTTATGATTTACTTTAAAGTAGTTATTTTCATGGAGGATGTTGTAAAGAAAATTATTTTAGAGAAAACTTATTCAAAAAAGTAGTGAGCCTGCAAACAGTAAATTTTACTTTTCCCAAGCTAGAATATGGCCTAGGCCTACTAGAAGAGCCTCAAGTTTTAAAAGGCTCAGATATCATTCAGTGATGTCTCTTAATGACGTTTTTCTTCCACTAAAGTAAGAAGATGACCATTGGAAGCCTAAAAAACTCTGCACCTAAGGTTCTAGATTATCTGAATCGGGCTCTGTTTCTTGGTGAAGAAATAAACTTACGAAATTTACATATACTTTGTTGTATTTTAAAGCACCATTTTTATTAATAAACCAGCAACTTTCAGTCTTTTTCAAGTTATAATTACTAATCTTTTTATTCACATCACGTTTTCAAGAAACTAATTTTTGATAAAACACACTGTTGATTTCAGCATAATACATAAATCCCTTATTTTGGTGCCCATAAAGTATGTAGTTTTCACCTATACAAAGTTTACTGTTACATTTTTTTAACTATTGTGAATAGTTTTTTACAGCTATATGTATTTCAAATATTATTGATTCTCCATGGCTTCAAACCTTGGAATATTTTTCTCCCTTTTTGTAATGAATTTATATGTGTATAACAGGGGTTATCAACTAGAGGTGAAACTCCCTTCGGGAGAATTTCATAGTTTTAGACGGTTATTCAGCTTTTTATTTAGCTAAAAAGTATTTAGTTTTACTTTAGACATATGAAAAACTACTTTTCTTTTCAAATACTGATATTTATTAACATTTTCTGTACTTTTTTGCTGTTTAATTTATAAAAGCACGTTAGGAATAAATCTAAACCTAAGTCAATGTATATGTATATTTCGAGTTTTGTAAAGGAAGGGGGAAGCACTGGTATTATAATCAAATAACTCCAGAATATTTCCATAAATAAATTATCATCAGTATATTTAAATGTTGTGCAAATCTTTTTTTTTTTTTCTTTGCAGTTTTATACCAAAGAGTTTAACAGCAGAGTAATAACTGTATTTTATATCTTTATGTTGCTGTAATTTCTTAGAATAGAAAGTTTCCACAGAAGTTGCATTTGTTTTTTTACAGCTTAGTATGTGTTGTAAATTCATAAACTTATTCTTTTACACATTTTCATATAGATATGAAGTAAACGAAATCTGCATGTTATAAATAAAAATATTCATGTTTTTATCTAAAATTCACCACATTATTAGATATATGGAGGTGATGAAATCATATTCATACAATCAGGAGATTTATGGAGCTCATAAAATCATATGATTTATATAATCGTAAGATTCATCATCTGGGGAAGAACATTTTAAGTGAAGTCTTTTATTTCGTTTCATTCTATTCAATTTCATGTTCTCAATAACATGGAAAGTACACCTGCAAATGTTCATTGCACACACACCAGTTACAGCCGAAAACATCGCAGCAAAAACATCGCGGACGAAAACGTTGCGGAGAAAACAACGCAAGGCGAAAACGTCGTGTTACAAAACATCGTGGGAGAAAACATCGCAAAGAGAAAACATCGCAGTTCTAAAACATCGTCGTCGAAAATAAAGCGGTTCAAAAACTTCGCAGTTTAAAAACATCATTGTCGAAAATATCGTGGTAAAAAATAAAGTATCTACAAATCATCGCATGACGATAACATCGCATGACGATAACATCGTAGACATGCTTTTTTCAGGCTTTAATAACTGTAAATGGATATTCCCACAGTGATTTGTGAGCGCAAGTTGGAAAAAAGGATAACTTTTACTTTCATATTTTTTATTAACTTAATAGTATTTTTATTAACTTAATAGTAAATTAATAGTATTATTATGTAATCTTAATAGTATCTGTAACCATTTTTAACAAGATTTTTTCCCCCTTTAATAGAAGATAAAAATTTTTAATCTCTGCATTTTATTTTTGTAAAAATTAGCTATGAGAAGCGAAGGTTAATACCTAATTAATCATCTTTCAGAGTCTTAGTTTTATGAATTTTAAATTTTTGATATAATTTTTTTAAATTTAATATTTTCGATCATTTTTGTTAAATATTGGAAAATACTAAAAAAATTTTTTCCAGTTCTGCAACTGAAGGAGAAAGGAGAAAAAAAACGTAATTTTAATAGTCATTATAAAATGTGAAATTTTTTTCTGTATTATCTCAAAAAAAATTCTTTTCTATACCTTTTATTTTATACGCATTTTTAGTTTAATTATTAAATTTATATATATATATTCTTCTAAGTTTATTTATTTATTTTTCTTTTTTAAGTAATTCTTTTTCGTAGAGTAAAATTATTGAACTTAAAAACCCTAATTCTTAATCCATTTAACGAAGAATACTTACTATGCACATCACCTTAACGCATAGGTCTAAATCCAGCTTTAAATGCCTAGTGTACGACAGAAGCTCAGTCACTATTATTTACCCTTACTAGCAGAACAATCTTTAGACAGGCAGATAACTAAGCCTTGGCCGCGCACGCTCCCTTCATCGATTTAACGTGCCGGAGAAATGCGATCACATCTTGCGGCGTGATAACCCGACTCCTGCCGCGGCTGAAGACCCGATTCACCGCATGGAGACTTAAGCCTAAGTCCTCTGTGTTGCTTGTACCTGTACGTGCGTGTGAGAATTCAGTCGTTCGCGATAAAAATGGTCCACCTGGCATTCTGAAGCGTATGAAGAACGCAAGCTTCCAACAGGTGGGAGGTTCAACCCCGCCTCAAGAAAGTAGGACACAATATGTATTTTATTTTTATTTATTTTTGCCCATTTTGTATCATATAATAAATTGTTACTATCAGTTGCAAAATAGTGGCTGTAATCAGTAAGAAGTAATTAATTAAAAATAATTCTCAAATTAGTATCGGATAAATGTGTTTCAAATATTCAATATTATATGCATTTACTAACTTATACTGCAAAACAGTTAAAGATGAGAATAATTTCATATATATTTTTATATTTTAATGACTTATATTGAATTATTTAAAAGCAATAATAACATTGGTTTAAGCGACTTTAAGCGGCTGCATTCAAAAAATTAAATCCATGGAAATAATTAGTAACAATTTATTATATGATATATGGGTCAATCAGAACTAAATAAATTATTAATAAATAACAGTCAATCAGGAATAGTAAAAAATCAAATAACTAACCTTTCAAATTTTCATTATTATTTTTCTTACTCTGTGTTTTACATTATAGGTTCTAATTATTATAATATTAGTTGCATACATATAGAGAGAAAGAGGGGGAAACTGGGCAATAATTGCATATCTGCATCAGTATAAGATACCAACTTGTTATATTTAATCTCTGATTTACTTAATATTAGCAACCAAAATAAACATTTATTATGGTTTTTTTGAAAAAAAAATCAGTTGTTTTGTCATAGTTTGTTACTAATTTTATACCATCAGTGCTTTTCCTGAATTTCAGTTGGTTTTTCGAAAACACTAAGCAATCCTCCTTTTTTTAGTAAAGACTGGTTTGTGATTACGTGAAATAGTATCAGCAGATACATTTAATAATAACTTCCATAAGGAAATTTATTCTGTTATTTAATTCTTTTTGACTTAGTTAGCAGTAGTGTAATTTTTATATAAAAACCTATTTATTAAATTTTATTTGCTTTTTATACACTGGGAGAAATATAGTAAAGAAACTTAAAATAAATAATGACTTTAGAAAAGAAAATTAGATAAATAAAATAATTTAATAAAATTGACAAAATTCAGCCTTGGATTGATGTCTGACATGCAACTTTTTTTTTTCCTATAAAAAATGACAATCTAAAACCAAACTTTGTCTTCTATCTCCCTATTCCAGATTGGCATGTGTTCCTTGTGACTATATGTAGTTATAATAAGTGACTATATATAATAATTGTATATAAATCGATGACTATATGTAGTATGATATAATAAGGTATTTATAAATGATAATTAATTAATTAATAATTAAATTATATGTAAATCGAGAATCATAATTAAATTGTTCAACTTTTTTATTTAAATTCTCAAGTCTTATTCTAAAATAATATTGTGATATAATGAACATTTTTAAATTTAAAATAGGAATGTTTCCTATCATTAAAATCTTCCTCTGTATTTCTCAACATACTGAAACTTCCTTACTTATGAATGTTATACTTATGAATGTTCCTTACTTATGAATCTATAATGTATAAATGTTACAAAACAAAAGCTTAAAAATAAATAAATCTTAGGTTTTTAACTAAGAAAGTGCTTGTAACTGTCTCCGTTGAGAGTTTTACCAAACCGTTTAGATAATGCTAGTATTTATTAACACCAGATGGTGGGAGTCCGATTTGTTTACTGAGATTTTTATGTCTGTGAATATGCGTGTTTTAATTGTTTTTTAAATATTTAGATTTTAAACTATTATAACAATAATTTGTTTCGCATACTTTCTTGAAGACTAAACGCAATTTTCTTTACATAAATAAGAAATTAAAACAACATTCTATAATGAGATAAAATTAATTTTGAAGCCAGCTAACTCTTAAAATTTTTTTTAATTTCTGGCTTTGGTAAGTATCAGCATATACTGAAATGATTTGGAAAACTCTCTCAATACATTATAAGCATCTCTTTGAGTTTCATTACATCTATATGTAATGAACAATCTACATGAATGTATGTTTTTCACAATGTGAAAAAACAACGGTACTTAGAATCATCAAATTTTTAAAAATACAGTCCTCCAATAGAAAGAGACACCTGGAAGCCCGAGTTTGGAATTTGTTTTATTGGGGGGGGGGGTATTTCATATTTTGTAAAACTTTAACGAATTTTTGATTATAAAACAAATTCAAATCGAGGAATGAAAATATTTTAGGGAATAAAACATTTTTATCTCCAGTGCGCGAGACTATCTATCGGAAATTTAGAAGAATTAGTCTATCGGATATTTAGAATTTTAAAAATCATTTTAAATATTTTTAGCCCAATGTGGCGTTAGACGAAATGCTCTCAAAACGTGTATGTGTCTGTAAATGAAAAAAAAAATGATGCTTATTTGGGCGTAATATAAAATCTGAACGCTTCAGATTTTTTAAAATTTTTATTTTAAATCTGAAAATTTTTTAATGTACAATATATCAGTATTAAGTACTACTGCATTTCAAACTGAAATTTACAATGAAAGTAATATTTATTAAATAATTAATTTCTAATCAAAATCAAAAAGATTTATATACATTGCTTTTACTTTTAACTGATATTATTATCCAAAATCCAAAGTGTAACACTCTTCTAGATGTAGAATCTGTGCGTAATTTCAATTTCATTTTTAAGTAAATTATGGAAAGCAGTTTTAAATTTTGCAAAATGTGGTTAGAAAAACTGATATTGTAAGTGGTTTAATGCTTAAACCGTTTGGTTCTATGCGTGAAAATGATGATCAGATTTTTTAGCAATGAAATAAATATGCTAGTTATTCGATTTTTAATCTACTGATTTTTGATATAAAACTATTTAATGATATTTCATATTGTTTCTAAACTGAAATAAATGATAAACTTTTTGCAACAATTTTTTTATCAAGGAAAAAATTATTTAAATATAACAGCAATCGAACAGTTATTGCAAATTTAAAAAAAAGTAAGAAAAAGAATGGAAAAAACTGAAAGGATTTAGAATTTAATTTCGCATCCAAACATCTGTTAACATATCTTATGCTCTTCCTGAGCTCGCAGTTTACCAATCTGCTCTTAAAATCACTCCTGCTAGCATAACATATTGTCGTTTCAATATTATAGCTCTTTCGTTTTGCTTACACCATATAATCCAAGAAAAATATCTTAATTTAGTTCTTGTAAATCTAATTATTTTTAAAGCAGCAGTAAATAATATTCGAAATTTCGATGAACCTTACTCAACTACGAATATTTCCCATATCTTTTAAAATTTACATTCTGTTTGGAATTTGTATTGACAAAAAATCTGGGAAATAAAATTCAGGTATTAACGGAATTTTATTCAGCTAAACTACTCTAGGAAAGCCAATTTTAGTTAAAACTTACGCTTGTGAAAGAAGCAACTACATTCTCCCTATTGTATTTAAAACTATACTATGTAGAATATTGCAATTCATTTTCAAAATGCAATCAGTATTTTTATTTGGAATAAATCAGAAATGGCGTTCAAAATATAACCTTTGTATTGCGTGCTTTGAAACGCGTTACATAATTTTTAAATTTAAAGGAGAATGGCTTTGAAACATTAGTCTTGCATTAATGCAAACAAATGTTGTATTAGTGCTTTTATATATTTTTCTTACTGCTTTTTAATCTTTAAAATATGATTACTAATAAAGAAAAATATTACTTCCTGATGCAAAGGAAATATTTTATTAAGTTTCATTATCATTTTCAAGAACATTCTCATGCAAATATATACAGTATTTTTCTAATATAAATATACGACTAAAAATTTGGATTTTCTTTAGTTTATTTAATCTTCTATAATGTTTTATATTTGAATGTGATTATCATTATTAATTCGCCAAATAATTTCCATCTTGTTTTCGTACATTTATTTATACCGACATCTAGTTAGAAGTAGGGGCACTGTTGGCCTGGTGGTAGGCAAACTAATCGTAATCTTAAGTCCGGGTTTGAATTCCAATGAAATTATGGCTGTTTGTAAAAGTACACTGTCTCTGTGATATAAGGACACTTCAAATATGGTCAAGCCCAAACTATTCAGCGTTCGAGATGATGATGGAAAATGAAGACGGGTGAGAGATCCTGAGATCCATCTGTCCAGGAGATTCTTCTTCAGAATTGGGACGAAGGTAGGTTAATTCATACAATAACCTGTAAGCAAAATCACAGACTCAACTTTTTCCTCTTGGACCACAATCATATTCGTGGAACTGATCTTATGTTACTGTCAGATAAGTGAAATAACTCAAAACAACAACAACGTAGAATTTTAGCTATTTTACGAGCGAAATTTTCTGGAAAGTCTCCTTATCTCAAATTTTCGATTACTCGAAACGTGTTTAGTCTGTTCACTTCAGTTCCGACTTATCGAGCTCGACTACATTATTATTCTTAAAAGTAAATTCGCTGAGACTCTAGAATAAGAAAATAATCTTTAAAAAATATGTAAATTTGTCCTATGGATTTATTGGAAGGAATCAAAAAGATTCAAGTCTAAATTATAACACTAGCGCAACAGCTGCATATATGCTTTATTTGTACGGGAAATGTAATCATTAAAATACTTTCTTATTTATTAAATTTAACAAGTTTAGGCGTCTAATATTAGTTTTATTTATCGTAAGTGCAAATTACGCTTAACCTCCACATGTTGAATGCAAAAATATATAAATGTAGAATATATTTCTGCTCAAAGCACTTTAAGTAGCTAGTTCATTGCTAGATTATATGTAATATATGTATATTAACTATTCGTTAATATAAATTTAAATTTATGTTACTAACTCTTAAAAGCTATTATTTCATTAACCTTTTTCCTTTTTTTATAGAGTTTCGAAACAGTAGCTAATCTTTGATGTTGACATTATTCTAAGACAAGATATTTGAAACTGGAAATTTATTGTTTTTTGTAACTAATTACGATTTTTATTTATTTATTTACTTCATTTTGAGCTGTATTAAAAAAATTAGATTAGAAAGATTAGAAAGATTAGAAAGAAGAAGATACCTAAGTTTAAAATTCTATTACCTCCTA